CCCCAAAACCCCAAAACCCCAAAACCCCAACATATGATTATTAAAACAATTAAGTAAAATTTAATCATGATAAATAATAATTTTGTCATCAAAAGCGTAATTAAAAATATTTTTGCTTCATTTTTTATGTTTATGATAAAAGAAGTTTTCGCTTAAATCTTTGCCTAACTACTAAAGAAATTTTTATTAATTTTCAGGATTAGAATAATCATTGAATTCTAAATCTGGCATTTATTATTTTGTTATGTTGTCTACTTTTTCAAGTAAATCAGAAAATGATTTAGTCTCAGGTTGGTCGAAAGCACTATTTTTACCGAGTAATCCTCCTAAAAATTCACACATATTCCTACCATTTGTTAATTTAGCTAAAATTTCTTATCCTTTTGATAAATCTTATTTTTCTAAGCTTTTGTAGAATTAATCATCAAAAACTTTAGTCTTATTTTACTTTTCAGGATTAAAGTCCTTCCAATTTACTTAATCAATTGTAATCACCTTTTTAATATCACTTTGAGAATTATTTTAGATATTCTCTTGAGGGTTCTAACATTAATTAGTTGTAACTATTTAATCAGCTTTAACTAATTAGTTAAATTTACTCTATTGCTGAATTTGATTATAAAGATTCTTATTGTTAGATTCTCCACTATTTAGTTAATTATTTAAAGAAGTCGATAATTAATGATCTTATTATGCGAAAGGCTAGGATGCTTTATTATTCATCTAAGATTCCTCCTATCTAATATATTCTCTCAGTTACTTAGTTAATTTGCAAATTTCACAGTATCCAACTTTATTAGCTGAAAGACTGTTAATAGTATCTCTTAGCCTTTTATCTTGTTGACTTTCTTCTTCCTCGTTTAAATAAACTTCTAGAACATCTGAAGTAGGAATTTCATCATTATTTTTATTGCTTGATAATTAATCAAATTATGATTTTTAGCTCTATCTTAATATTTTATTTGTTTGAATGTTTAAGTTTAATTTGAACCTTGAGTAAGTCAATTCGTTTTGCCAACCGTTTATAATGTTGTTAATCTGATTCAAATTTGTTTTACATTAGGGGCAGAAAGGTTCATTTATCAGAAAATTTTCACCACACTTTTCATGATATTTTTCATCACAGCATGGCATTACAATCAACTTTTGATCGGTCAAGATACTATTAAGACATAATTTACATTTCAACTTGTTTGAAATACAATGATCATTACTCATTATTCTTAGTAATTTTTAAATGATCTATTGTCTTTGAGATTTTATCAACTGTTTCTCTTGCTATATTGTTATTGATTTTTCATCGTTTATTTTCTCTAATTCTGAACCCCACAAGGAATTAGTTTAGCTTGCCCAAAATTTCTTAATGAAATGCTGATTCCAGTTCTAGTATAATTCTATCAAGTCCTAGATTAAAGCATTAATAAAGATATTTGATTACCTTTTAGCCTTGTGTAGCAGTTTCATTCACAAATTACTGAGAATTCTTTGAATCAAAGCCAATGAAATCTTCACAATTATGGGCCTTTTATTCAAATACTTAATTAAGATTATTTTATGAAACTTCAAGATTGTTTGAAATTTTCTCCTCTTATTACTTATAATTCTGCTACTTAAAATCTGAAATTATGTTAGGCAGTTTTTATATTTTAAATTTTTTAAATATGCTAGAAAATTCTTTTTTGTAAATTCTAAAAGTCCCTCTATCTTAAATTGAAATTACAATATCTTTTAAACTTGTCTATCTGAATTCAGAAATTTAAACATAATCTTTGATAATATTTAAAAGCGCTGGAGCAAATTTTAAATGATTGAAGTGTGATTCAAATCTTTCTAACTATGGAAAGATTAATAAGTTCATATCTGTGCTCAAGCAATTTTGTATTACTTGCTTTATTCCTTTTTTAAATATATTATAATATTCCTCTTCATCAAAGTTATCTAAAAGATTTTAACTAATAGTATCCAATACTGAACAGAAAGAAAAAATTGGGTTATAATCTGCTAGGAGAAAAATCTCATTTTGACCAAGATATTGTTTTTTGAATTATTCTGGAATCATTTAATTATGCAACCTATGAAATGCCTTTCTTTCTGAAGGACATTAATAATTCATCTATTCAGATAGTTCTAAGGGCAGATGAAGTTTTATATGATCTCCCATTTATAGATTAATCAATCTTACATTTATCTTATTGAAACTAAACATTACTTACTTCACTGCCTCAAACATTTTCAACTCTTTATTGATTATTTTTCGTCTATCAGCTGAGATTTATTTTACATTTATTTATTCTTCCTCAAGTCTTCTTTAATTATGCTAGAAAAACAGATCTTTAACTTGCTAAGTTTGAATAAATTTTCTTTTATTTATTTATTTATGAGGCTTGGCCATTATACCTCGTATCGACTTGAAAATTGAATTGTCTTCATCTTTAAAATTTATCATATTTTTATCTTCAATATAAAATTTTGATTTTAAAACATTATAAAAGATAATTTCAATCTAATTATTAATTAATCCATGGGGTTTTGGGGTTTTGGGG